CTGCTTTAGTAAAAAGATGAAATAAACAAAAAATGAATTAAGCATGCGGATCTTTACCTGTGTTTTAATTTAAGATAATAAAAGTTCATTTTTTTTATATTATATCTATTGATGAATGATAATTTTCTAAATCTTGAGATTATAAATTTTAATATCGTTACAAATTATAATTATAAAAAAATATTAGTGTAGGTAATGTGGCTATCGATATTAATCACGGTTTATTACATCGGATTGATCAATAATCAATTGATCAAGCGAAATGATTACCATTGCCCTGTTTACCATATACTGATGTTTTTTAAGGTTAATTGCCACAACCAGAAATACATTTACCTTGAAAACCCAAAACTAATGCTTTTTTAAGGATAATTGCCTAAAAAAAGCTTACAGCGTAAAATAAACGGAAAAAAATTAATAAATAATTCTTAGCTCGGAAAATTACTATTACGCATGTGTATAGGAAATCTCTAGGCAATGAGTTGATGATCTTTGCCATTGACCGGTAATTATTAATAATTACCTGCGATTATTTATATTAACCAACAGAAACACCTAAACAATATTATTTCATCTTTCCTCTGTAACAATTTAGGGATTTGATCAAATCACTTTCTTTAGGTAAATGACCACACAGAGTTGTATTTTAAAATCTTCCGTGAATTAATCATCTCCTTTAGGGATTCGATTAAATCTTCGCTGCTATCATCTCCGTGACATACATGTTTAAGATGAATTAAGCTGTATATGAAAATAAATTTCATTACTATTATTTTTCCAGTTTCTTGCAGCTTAAAATTTGATATCAAGACAAGTAAGTATTGTCTCTGGTGTATTCTTTTACGGTGAATTGAATAAAATCAAACTGAAATCGATAAGAGTAATAGTTGAGAAGTCATAGAGATTTTCTTTGTACTAAACGTAGAGATATTTGTTCTTAACCAACATTAGTGTCTAAAATTAAGGTCACAAACATAAAATCTGGGAAAACTGAAAAATTATTCACTGTGTAGCCACGAAATTCGGCACGGGAATGTATTTAGTATAGGAGAAGGAACATGAAAACACAACAATAAAGAAAAGATCTTAATTGTGATTTGAGAAACAATAAATATAGTGAAACTTCTCGGGAGCGACCACTCTCTGTTCCACAGTAAAGTGGTCGTTAATGGAGGTTGGTCGTTCTTACGGGTTACCTCCATCGACTTCAAAATGTTGTCGAAGGCTCTCCAATGCTCGGGCGAGCGACCATAGCACGCTATCCTCTTCCAATATCCACCACGCCGACCATTATTAAATTTGTGCAATATTCCAATTCCAAATTTGTCATTGGGCTTGGCACCAATCTGTATATGTAGTGGTTTTGAAGAGGTGGTGGCGAATTTCAGTAATCCCCCTTGAAAAAAAAAATCATTTATCCTCTTCAATTTTATTTATTATTATTTTTTTTAAATGTACCACTGCTTTGTTGCCAGAACTTGGCAACAATTCGGAATTATTAAAAAAAGCTTCCCAGATGAAATTTTCTTGTAAAGTTGCTGCATCATCAGTTTAACACTAAAAAAAGACTTTTATCTATGACACACATATTGCAGCCAGAGCCAAGAGAGTAATGCTAGCTGCAAACTTATGTAGAAAATTTTTCCAAGTTATAGCCAAACTTATTCTTTAGCCTTTCAAATGCAGAACTTGTTTCGAGGCTTGTTCAAAGATAGTTTAAACTACAGAAGTCATTTACATTTGTTATAATATCTAGGGTTTGAGGTTTACAGAGTTAAGTCAAGCATTTCGGTTTGAAAAATGTAAGATTTAGGGTGATAGTTATTTACATGCAATACTAACTCGGATACGAATTGGACATGAAAGCGCAATATTTGGCTCTTGAAAAAAACCATTTTCGCCAAGCGTCGTTGTGTAATCACAGTTCATGTCTTATTGCTATTATTTATTATTATTGCATATTATTATTATAATTTATTATTATTGTATATTATTATTATTAGTATTTATTATTATTTCTTTATTATTATTTATTATGATTATTATTCAAAAAAGATGAAAACGGGTATCACAACCATTATGTAATCAGTCTCTATCTTTCTTGTAGAAACAAAGCAAAGCTCAATATCATAATATATTAGTAGCATTATAAATCTTCCGTTTTTACTTGTAATCCTAGGTTTGAGTTTTTTTTTTTTTTTTTTTTTTTTTTTTTTTTTTTTTTCAAATTTAGGTGGTAGCTAAAATAAGAAAATACCGAACCGATTTTAATAACACTATTTTTCAAATGATACTTTTTACATCACTGTAACACAAAAAGTCGGGAGCTATTGGAAAAAATGATTACGAACACCATTATAAAAAATGTATAATGCGGGATACTTAGCACAAAATACAAGATACTTAGGATACTTAGCAAAATACAGCATACAAAAATAAAAAGTCTAACAGATCCTTGATAATGCCTTTAAATGATGGCGAAATTTAAAAAATTTAGCTTGCTCAAACTTGATACTACTGTGAAATTGTTTCATTCAAAGAACAAGTCCTTAAGTGTGATATGGCCTTTATAGAATTAGATAAAACAATGTTAATAAAGATCAATGTTAAGAAGTAAAGAACCTAACAAAATGTTTAGGTCATAATTTATTGAATATACTATTTAAAGAAATCATGTTTTATTTTTTAGTAAAATAGGGCATTCCAATTTATGAATAGCATCTTGTCGAGGTGCTTTCCCTGATAGCTAATTTACAATCCAACGGTATTAACGACTCACTCTCTTTCTCTTCCTTTTCTTATCATTTTTATTTTTAATTAATTAATTTATTTATTTATTTATTTTTGGATAAACCTCTTGGTTGTTGCTGGTCGTAATTATTATGCAAACTTTTATTTCTTTAAAAATTTATTAAATGAACTAAGAAAAAAGCAAAAATCTTACTTTTCTTTATTTAAAAAAGGAAACCTAAAAGTCGCTGGATTGGAAAATTTCTCCCCGAGCATCCAGAATACTCGACCATACGATTTCTACCGCTTAGGACCCAGTGTTTAATATATGGGACAACATTTAGTTATTATTTTATTACCTAAGAAATAAAATTTTTAGATTCTTTTCTGTTTGCATGCCTTTACAACGCTATTGTGAATACACAAATATAATTAGATTTATCTTCGTTGATCTAAGTATTTATATACATTGAAAAATTGCAAACGAAGTAAGACATTTGATTCAAGTAATATTTTGACAGTTTTATGGCATATAAATTAACTGCGCTGCATATTTCTACGTAAAAATCACATTTTCTGTCATTATTCAAAGCTTGAGTCTGAAAGGATATATTTGGAGTAAACTTAAAATTCCATGCCTTTAAAAATGTAGATCAAAAAATAAGAACATGATAAATCTAAAGAAAAATAGATTTATTGTTGCAATTTTTTAGATGATTTCTCTTTAAGTTTAAAAGACATGATACGGACGCGTAATTGAAAAAACAACGCAAGTGCTTCACAATCGATTCCGAGGCAATATAATATAAGATATATAATGCGAGACAACAAAAAAAACGCTAAATCAGAATTTCAAAAAACTAATTTAAAAAAATTATTATAATTATTTTTTTTTCTTTGCAATTTGTAGTTTACTATACAAAAATGCCAATTATATGAAAGTAACAATTTTAAATTTTCTGTCGTAGATTTTTAAATTATACTATACGACAGTAATAGTGTATGTATTTATCGCTCCATTAAGCGCGAACAGTTCTTAAATTTTTTTTAGAATTGAAATTCATTTTGGTTCGTAAAAAATGATAAGCTTACTACTTTTCGTTTTGATTTGAATCCCATCATTAGAAAACAAAGAACGATTTTAAAAAGAAGAAACGTTTCAAAACTTCCTATGGAAGGTCAAATATGGCTTAAAATTTTCAGTTCTTCCTGTGTTTGAAAATAATATATCGTTACAAACCAATCTTAGTATGAAATTTATCAAAACAAATTTTTAGATGAAGATTTTAGAATAAAACTTAGAATGGAAAAGAACCAAATTTGTCTTATGTAAACAATTTAAATAAAAAGTTAGAAACCAAAATAAAAAGCAAAGCGAAATTTTAAAGATATGTATATGTAGGCAAAAACAGCACTTCATCAGGGGACACACTGTCTGTTAACAGTTAATGGTTAAACCAAAAACTAATTATGCCCTGAGGCCCCATAGTAGAAAAACTTAATAAGAAAATGAAATACTTCAAAAAAGATTGAAATAAAGATGTAAATCCGATAATTATATCGTTACAAACGTTAGAGGAATAACTATTGGCATTGTTTTTATAAAAATAGTGCCAATGTTTTTTTTTGGGGGGAAGGATCAAAATTTATTTAAAAATATCGAATAAATCATCTGAATTTTTTAAATATTATACATTTAAAAAAATTATGAAATTTTACAAATTTTTTAATGAAAAATTTCATATTTCCAAATTTTTTTTTATAAAATATGCATTTCTTATTGAATAATTGCATATTATCGTCTTGATCGAGATCGTCCCTCCTTTTGATTGGAGAGGGGAAATAATTAGTATGATCCTGCCCTGGAAGTAACAAATAAAAGAGACTAGAATAAGTGCAAACTGCTCAATATTGATGCTGTTTTGTTAAACCATTATCTAAGAAAATATATAAAGGAGCATTGAGTGGATCTGAATGGAATATGAAAATTATATGGATTCCTTATGTCTTTATGATTCGAATTAAATTGATGACGAATATAATTTTTAGATTTAGTGACAAATGTAATTTTTCTGTTTCCGGAAAGAAAATTTAATTAAAGATTTGATGAGAGATTGTAAAACACCATTTTTCTATTTTTCCTCAAACTCCTTTTTTTTATTTCAATTCTAAGACACAAACAGCAGGAATCAATCACCTCTCAATTAAAGGTCAAAACTAATTTTCTACCGTAAGAGGGCGGCACCATACAAGAGATCTTTCATTGAAATAAAATAAAATCTTAACTGCAATTGCTACCTGTGCATTTGTTTATTTTTCAGGCCAAAATCTTTTGAAAATTTCAAAATATCTGATCATTTATTTTTGGACAACCGAAAAACTTTTATGTACTTTAGTAAGTTAACTGTTTTCTTTTATTACTTTTCTGTAAATGATTTCTTACAATTTGTCCGTTGTAACTTTTCAATCTCACTATGTGGCCATTTACGAAAATTTCTGGCTGCTGATAATTTTTAAATATTATTTAAAATTTTTAAATATTATTTCTCGTATGTTTAAAATAATGTGGTTTTATTCTAGATTACAGTTATTTTATACATTTTATTATTTCTGTTAAACGTTTTCATATGTTTATTATCTTCGAAATTATTAAAAGAAAATTTTAACACGTCAAGTATCATTTACTGTAGTTCAATAATATTGAAAATGTAGAATCACGTATAAATATCTTATTTGATTTTAAACGCTTAATGCTAGCTTTGAAATCTCAGATGTAATATGTTCTAAACATTGTATCTCAGCTCCTTTTTAAGTATTTGGTGTATCCATTTTTTTTTTTTTTTTTTTGTACCATAGCTCTCTGCTAATCTGAACTAATTATTTATAAATAATTATAATTCGTGAATGTATATCTGATTTTTATACTTTATAAATAGGAAAAAAATTACTTGAGTGTTCCAATTTATTTATTGTGATGGATAATAAATTTTTTGACAGAGTTGAAAGACCTTTCTGATTTGTTTTAGAATTTATAGCCTAAAATATGCTTAAAATTAATTATATTAAAAATATATTAAATTAGTCCTAATGGTTTATATAATTGTGTAATTGCTTATTGTTAAAATTTTAAATGCTTAAATTTTTTAAGAGTGCATAAAATTATGGCTGATAGTATTTAAAATATACATGTAATATTTCCCAAAATAATTTAAATTGTAAAGCTGTAATTGTGATCTTAAGCAATAAGTCTAATTTTTACATGGTCTAGCTTAATGTAAGAATTTCATATTCCTCAAACTCAAAGCTGGTGATTTATTTTATGTGCCTTTGCTTCCCAAAAATATTAAATCTTAATGGATTTGCTTAGTTAAATTATGTAACAAAAAATACAAACAAAAATAAAAAAAATTTATTAATGCATTTACATAGAGAAAACATTTTTATAATTAAAAAATGGTTATGGTTTTTAAATAAAAATATTAAAATTGTATTTTTGCTGATTTAAAAAAATATTTTGTAATTAGGAATTATTTATAATTAGGTTGATGAATCAGGTTATGGAAATATTCTTATTCATATTCATAATTTTTAAAAAAGCTAACTTTAAATCAAATGCCTTTTCAAAATAAATAGTTCCTAGGATTAAAAAAAAAAAAAAAATTCTTACTTAACTTCTAAACTATGTAATATTTTTACCCATTCTTTCCATACTTTAAGAAAGAGCTACAACGAGTTATTAAAACTTATGACTAATATATTTACTCTATCCTGGATTTTTTATTTTTTAGCTTCAAAGAAGCAAACAATAACTTTCTATCACATAAATTTTTCATTTATTTGAATAAATATAAATTTTTATTTATCATTCACATACATATTTTTCATTTATTAATTCTTCCCAGCATATACTTTTTTTTTAAGGATTATTTTTCCCCCAATTCTCTAAAAAATTTTGCGTTAAGATTTTTTTTTTTTTTTTGTGCAATTGTATAAACTTATTAAGATTTCTTTAATTATTTATATTATTCTTGATGTATGTGGGTGCCACTCTTCAGTCCTGAGGACTGAAATTAGTCTTGAGAAAAGATTAATGGGCTGAATTCTGTTCTGTTTATTTTCAATTTGCTTCTTATATTTAGTATTTAAAAATTAAAAAACCACAGTTATTTTCTTTAAACAAACATAAATAAAGAAGAAATTATTGCTTTATGTTGAATTGTTATATCATTATTAGCAAAATTATATCACGCCGAAATAAAGTAATGAGATTGACTGAACTTCAGCATCTGCTTGTCTAAACAAACTTTGTTTTCTTGAATTTAAATGTGCCTGAGTTTGTATTTTTTTCCCAACATTTTAAAATGCTCGTCAAGTTATATTATGATTATTGATTACTTTTTGAAAAATGAAATTTATAGATCTAGGACAATAAATGTAGAAAAATAAGTGTTTATTTTTTCTTTTCCAAAAAGGTAATTAAGTTATTGATATTATATGTGCGCCATTCTCATGAAATGTGAATTTATGAAAAATTTTGCTAAGCAATGCTTGACTGTGTTAATTGATTTGTGTTTTTAGAGTGGCACCCCTATGACTTTATTCTAATTAGATAATAAATCTTGTATATCATTGCCTTGTCACATGGACTAGATCCTCCGTATTTTGTTTTTGTTTTTCTTTTAAATGATCAAAGTAGTTGTTGCAAGGATAACATTAAATATTTCATATGCTTATAAATATTTGTTTTTTCTTTTGAGAATGGGGCACATTTTTACCCTATGTTATGTCTATGTTTTAAACAATGTCACTAAAATAGCTATTAAATTTTCTAACTACCTTTGATTCGCCTTTTTTTATTAATTGAATAAATTTCTTATTAACTAACAATTTATCGTTCTATTTTGTTTTCATTTTGCTTTTCGTTTTAGGTCTTGAAACATTGCTACATCTCACTACAAGCGATGATTCTTGTGAAGGTTGCAATGCTTTTGCATTTAATCAATTTATTCATCAGCAAACAGGAGTATTGGTGAAAAAAGATCCTTTAATAAAACAATCATAATTTTCGTATGATTTTAAAAATATAATGAATGCATGCAAGACTTAAATAGAAATGAAGTATTAAAAAAATTTAAAAAACTTCCTTCATCACTGAGATTTAAAATTTATCATTAAATTTATTTATCAAAGATTTTGAAGCATTCATAAATATTAAATATTTTTTTTTTTACTGAATTAGATTTGCTTCGATTGAAATAATCTTAAAATCATTTATCTAGCCTATATTAAAGCTATCATGGTTCTAGTATTGTACTTATATAATGCATTCTATAATAAAAACACAGAATTTCTAGGGAAAAAATTTATAAGTTTTTTTTTCTGTGTCATTGATAATTTGTTTAGTAATGTTAAAATTTTAATTTTTATATCAATTTTATATTTGGTTATTCTATTTATGCATGTTATATTATAATTGCACTATTATTATTCAAAAAAATTTCTGTGTGAAAATAATATGTGTCTTAAATTAAGGCTTTCATGCACTATACATCAATATATTGACAATTTACATTTACTGCTTATTGAAAGTATATTCCAAATACAGCACATTGAAAGTATAGCCTGGTGAGCTGTAGATTGCATNTTGAGCAGAAAATGGCACAATAATCCAATAAGGGATGTCAATGTTTTCCAAATCAACAAAACGCAGTTTAAAATCGTCGCTCAATTTTTGAAGATTACCTGTATATTTCCAAGTCTTCTTTTTTTATTTCTAATTGTCACATATCTGAAAAATACTTATAATCCTTCGACCAATCGACCCTTCCGGTTCGGATCGACCCCCTGGCTCAGTTCGACCCCCGCTAATGCTAAATAGACCCCTGGGGGTCTATTTAGACCACTTTGGCGACCTCTGATCTAGCCTATATTAAAGCTGTCATGGTTCTAGTAGTGTACTTATATAATGCATTCTATAATAAAAGCACAAAATTTCTAGGAAAAAAATTTCTAAGTTTTTTTTCTTTGTCATTGATAATTTGTTTAGTAATGTTAAAATTTTAATTTTTACAGCAATTTTATATTTGGTTATTCTATTTATGCATGTTATATTATAATTGCACTATTATTATTTTAAAATATTTCTGTGAGAAAATAATATTGACAATTTACATATACTGCTTATTGAAAGTATATTCCAAATGCAGCACATTGAAAGTATAGCCTGGTGAGCTGTAAATTGCATTTAGCCTTAGCCTCTGTAGTTTTTCCCTGACAAGTACTTTGCTAATTATTTTTATTATTTATTTAAAAAAGTTTTAATAAATTTTGTCAAGAAAAGGGTTAATCAGGAATTGCCACCTTTGGATGCCCCAACTAAAATACTGTAAAATAAATTTGGAGCATTTTTTTTTTTTTACCCCTCAGAATTATTGATTAGTTGTTTGTCATCATGAGTTTTATAATAAAATCTTGAATCACTCTACTCTAATTTTTCATCTTTTTTACAGATTGTAGAGTCAAAGCATAAAAAGGAATCCAGTAATGTAAAATGAAGAAATTTTCTCTTGTTCTACTTGCAATATTTAAAGAGAAGACAAATCTTATGAACTGAGGATTATTCTTGTTATTAATAGCTCATGTATTTTATCTTATTTCATTTATAACATATGCTTTATATAACTGTGTATAAATATACGATTTTTAATATTCCTACAAGATTTTGGTAAATTTTATTACTTAAATTAATTTCTTTCGAAAGCCTGTTAATGTTTCATTTATAATTTATATCTTAAATGAATATAATTTTGTTTATTTAAAATGCATACATATTTTTCTGTGTTTGTTTCCTTTCCATGCTAAAATTGTATTCATAAGTTTCTCTCTAACGAAAAATGTTGCAAAAACACTCTTGAAGTTTAATTTTATTTTTAATAAAATGTTCATTAAAGAAGAAAAAAAAGTTACTCAAAAGACAATGTGTGCTTCTAAAGCAGTGAAATCTAACACTGTTCGATTATAACCAATATAATTTTGGTATATTTTACTACTTATTTTCTTGGAGTACTTATAAAAGTTCAAAAACATGTATGTTTAAATATTATAACAATTAGAAACATAATTTCAAAAGAAATATATCCCACTATGAGGATTTATTATTAATCTTCAAATAACATAATTTAACCAACATTTCTTTATTCACTTTGTTTAACGTGATATTTGCTAATTTAATTACTTAGCATCTTGTTTTCAATATACTTCACCAATTAGGTACTGATAATATGTGTTATTACTATTAAAAAACAATCGATAATTTTATTATGTGAAGAAAACTTTTGCTTTTTTAATGCACATTAATTTTTTCATAAATTATTTTAATGATTGAAACAATGATATTATCTTTCTAACTATTATTATAATTCATATAGTTCCTTATTTCCCCATGTTCGTTCGAAAATTCTTTTAATAATATTCTTAATAATTAAGTTATGTTCTAATATTAAGTTGAAAATTGAGTGTTATTTTTTTTATGACTTTGTATTTGATTTGTACTTTATGAATGATTTTTCTGAAATTAATCTTTTCTCCCTTATTTGTATTTACTATTTTTCATGTAATTTAATATGAAAGAAAAAAAGTAATGATCAAAGCAAGTGAAGTTCAAATGATGGAAATGAAAGCTTTCCCCTTATTTTTTTCAATGTCATTTGTTTTCGTAAATTCGTATAGCCATAAATCATTTTAAATTTTTTTTATTATTTTTATATGTATTTAATTTATTGAATTTTTCTTATGCTTTTACCTTTTTGCTTTATAATACAATTGTAATGAAATTTTGCTTACCTGATTTCAGATAACTGATATCTCGCTTAATTTAAGCTTCTGATGTATTTTATGTTGCAGAGAAGGTTTCTTTTTTTCTGTTTGTAAATTTACTTATTTAATACTATTGAGACAATAAGTATTACTATATTATATTAAATTTCAATTTTAAAAAGAACTGTGATGCCAGTTTAACCAAAATTCTTCTATACAAGTTAAATGAGAGCAATAAGTTTTACTACTAAATTGCAATTTTTCTATGTATCAAAAACGAATGTAAAGTTATCAGCTATATTATGTAACGTTTTATTTACTTTTTTGATTAAGTTACTTCTTTATTTACAAAACTATGGAATTTTATTTGTCTAATGTGATGGTGCTTGATATTTTCAGAATCACAGTTTAAGTGTAGACAAAAAATGTGCTCTTAATTCACAAGTATGCGCAGGCGCTCTGTGAAAAATTGTTTAAGAACCAATTTTTTAAATTTTATTTTGTTTATCTTCAGTTATGCTAATAAACTCGGTAGCAGAACTTATATGGTGAAGCTATAGCACTATCTTCAAGAAATCCAAATTTTTATGCAACATAAACACAGTCATAGAGATCATTATAAAAATTCTGTTTAATCTTCGATACATGTAGCAAAATTTGATGTAGTGTTCTACTCAGCTGTTTAATTTCTATTAGGAACAATTTTAAGTGTATTTTTAAAAGGAATCTCAACAATTTTTCCCTGTTTTATAATATTTCTTGTTTTAGTAAAATTTATAAAATTTCTTGTTGCACTGTTCCTTTTACAAAATTTACTATTTATATCTAGAATTTTTAAAATAATAACAAAACTTTTTTTTTTTTTTATTTCAGGTTGTGGGGAAAAGAATCCTTTCATTGGAATTATTTCTCGGAAAGATTTCAGCCTTATGCTGCTATTTTTTTTTTCAATTTTATTATGAATGATATTATTAACCATAATATTCATGTCTGTCAAATATATTCACTGAATATTGAAATAATTCCTTTCCATTTGCAGGGATTAACAAAGTGTCCATCACTCGAGTTGTTAGAAAGTCTTCAGATGCTGAGACTCCCGGATTTTCTTGCCCACTGTGTCCTTACGTCTCTGGAAGCAAAAGCCTCTTTATAGCACACATTTTGGACCATGCTAAAAATTATCCCAATGCATGTCCAGTCTGCAAGAAGACATTTTCAGGACAAGCCAGTTTAAAAGTGCACGTGTTCAGCCATTCTGGAACACGTCCTTTTAAATGTCATGAATGTGGACGTGAATTTGCACAAAAGGGCAATTTAAAAGCCCACGTGCATTCGCATGCGGCCAGAAAGTAGCTATCTGTTTTTAAAAAAGACTAAGTATATTGACTTTTTAAGATAGTTTGAATATTTAGTGCTTTATAGAGGTTGTTAGCTGAACCCTAGCTTAATAGATGGGCCTTCACATACCACTGAACTTGTATATATTTGTTCACTTGGCTTCACTGTAGAAAAGGCCTGCTATTTCAGGTTCAAAATTAATTCCTAAATGTTTAATTTTTTTTTTGATAAGGCATCCTTTTTTTGGACTAGATAGAATTTTACTTGTTTACAGCTCGTGATTAAAAGGTGAATTAAACTTTGTCCAAACAAGATAGATTTTCAATTGAAAAAAAATAATAATAATAGTCATAAAACCCTTCTTACCTTGTCAACAATATACCAACTTCGAAATTTAAACCTAGTTGATAATTTGTAAAATGAACTTAATTTTGCTGCTCGAACAATATGCTAACATTAATGTATCATGGTGTACGGCTTGCAACAAGAACAAACAGTATCAAACAAGTAAAAAGAGGCCATATCGGAACTGCCAAAAAAGCGAGTTCTTTCTAAATCTTGCAACCATGTCAGCTTTTTTAACAATACATCTATAAATAACTAAAAACAAATTTTCACTCACAAGAATTACTTAATATCATAAAAATCTTGTGAAATACAGCTGATTTGAGCTCAGAAATTATATCTATTTTTTTAAATTAAAAACTTAATTTTCCGTTTGAAAATATCGACTCTCAGAATAAGCTGTAGTAAGCAACTGTATACTTTCTAACTGGAAGTAGAGCTGGTCAAGAACTCGAGATTGTTGTTGTTTATATTTATGCTAAAACACCATCTATTATAATATCATGGATTGTGGATAAAAGTGAAACATTTAATTTTAAAAATTAAAACAACAATAGATTCATCAATCAACAAAAGATATGTGTTCAAATCTTAAAAGTACGCTAAGCAAAAACAAACAAAAAATCTTTCAATTAATTATTTTGAAATAAATTTTTATAAAATATTTTCTATGTAATATTTCATAATTAGTTTATAAAAATATATGTAATATTCTATTATTAGTTTTTAAAAATATGCATTTAAAAATAAAAACAAGTTTTACTTTTTTGAGTTTTAAATAAGTTGTTTTCTGAAATTTTGTACCTTTACATTTTATTTTTAAATAATACTACTCAGTCTGCTTGAATTCATATGGTCTTGTGTCCATATTTTAATAACTTATCACTTATATATACGAAATATTTGAATTTTTTGGGGGAAGCCTAATCAAAACTCTGCACCATTTCACATAACCGCTATTTTTAATTGTGAACTAGAACAATAGACAAAAAAAGGTTTTTATCAATGTTATCAAACTTCAGTGTGTGTGATAAAAATAATGCATAAGACGTTAGTTTGATGGTAATGATTACAGTTAATAATTTACTATTGCAAACTGTGGCTAATATAACTGAAATTTTTGTGGTTACATTATTCTTTATGTATTTACTAAGTAGGAAGTGCTCTGTTAAAATATGAGTACTCATTTTTTATATTATTGTTTCTTTTCATTTTCATGCAATGTTTAATTAATATCTTCAGGTTTTTTAAATTTCTTTGTCTCTCTTGTAATTTCCAAATAAAACCAAATCTTTAGACTTATATAAAAGTTGACTGTAAATTTCTTTTATTTCTATATTATTTTCGTGGTTTAAAATTTTTTTTAATCAAATATTTTTTGTAATTTGAAGTAAATTGAAAAAAGAGAATGATGAATTTCAACTCCTAAGTATATGTTAATGTTATACAATTTAAAAAGATATCCATTTAGTATGAAGAATATTTTTTTAATTGTTTTCAATATTCTTAACCATTTAATTAGAAAACTTTTTTAAAAAATAAAGTTAACAGTAACTTTTGATGATTTGCTTTGTAATTGTATGTTAAGTTTTTTAATAATAATGTGGCGCCATCTATTGTAATAGAAGAATTTTAGACAACAACAAAGGAATTTTTTTCCTTCCACTCAGTGAAAAAGCCACATGAAAACTATCTAAACTTAGCTGATGTATTATTAATTTAGAATTTTTATTATTATGTGAAATTTCTTTATCATTGTAATTATTTTAATTTTTATTTACTTTTTTTTTGCTTTGCTTTATTGAGTGTTTAAAATAAGGTAGAAATAAATTGTAGGTTCTCTGCTTAATTTGCTTGATACTTGTAGTAAAAAACAATTAATTCTAACTAAAAATTTAATATGTAATTACTATAAAATTTAATCTAAAGAAACAAGCTATTTTTGCAATCTTTGTTGAAGTTCTTTATAACAGGGAAAGAGTTAAAAGTGATGTGGTTAAATTGGAATAATAATCAAACCAAACTTATATATATGTATATATATATTTTTTTTTCTTTCAAAAAGCAATTTTTATCCTTTTTGTTTGTATGCTCAAATAAATGAAGAAAATTAGATCAAATTGAAGAATAAAATAGCATACTGCATAATTGTATGTTTAGAATAAAGTCAAAATCCACTTTCTTTTTCAGAGTGTCCATGCACGTGAACAAAGCTTTCAAAATGTGTATTTAATAAAATGTTTTTGGGAGAGAACTCTGTACTTCTTTTTCACGGAATTCCCTCAATGTCCTGGATTGTATGATTTTTTTTTGGCATAAGAACCTCAATTGCGAAAATTCAAGTTAGAACTATTTATAAAAATTATAATCATAATTATGTTCTTTACGTAATAACAAAAATAATTTATTCAGTAAAAGGCAAATAACTGTAGAGGTTATTCAAACTTGTAAGAAAAAATATAAAATTTTTTAAAATTCATTAAAATCGAATGTTTAGTTTTTAAAACGGATGAATAAAAAAATAATCAATGACCTTTTTTAAATATATGTATATTTGCTTCATGGGCATGTTTTTTATTATTATTCTTTTTTGCTTTCATTGAAACATTTTTTATTATTAATATATGATGAACAGTAACCTTTAAAAAAGTTAAAAGGTTAGTAATGTTTACATCTGAATGTTTTTAGTTGTATACAATTTTGAAATTCTATGCGAAAGAGGAGTTTGACATACCCTTACAATTTAATTTGTTATGTACTTATGAAATGTAATGTTTTTTTTGTTTATTTAATCTGCTTTTGTATTTTATTAATATCTACAACTTATGAATTTATGAAGCTAATATTTATGCCTTAAAATGCTTTGCTTGTAAATATGCATTCGTAAAATTCATTCTTAATGGGTACATTTTTATTTAAGTATTATTTTATGCATAAGGAATTGAACAAATGTTATATCTATGTTAAAATGCTTATATCTTAAATACTTTAGTTTTGTTTTTTAGTAACTTGTGTATAGTTCATGAAAAAATATTGTGCGTATATTATAAAATATTGTAATTTAAATTCTCAATATTTATTGCTTTGGCCTATCTTTTATCATAAATTTTTGAAATCAATTTTTATCACCTGTGTTATAATTTTGTTTTTTTCCGTTGAAAAATTTATCTGAATTGATAAGAGAGCTATTATTTTTTTTATTACAGCTTAACTATTAATTGATTATAAGATTTTTAGTTATTAAAGATTTATATTATGTATTTTCGAAATATTTCTTCGTTTATTAAGGTTTCCATAAGGTTTCCATTTTTTTTATACTCAAAATTATGGTAAGAGCAATATCATGTATACATTTTACTGTTATTTGTTATTGTTGAATTCTATTTACTTACAAATTTGTATTGTTTATCTACTTAATAATTTATAATATTATCTACTGAAAGATTTAAGTTTTTATTACCATTTTATACAACATTCTCTGTTTCAATTAATATTTTATTTCAATCCTAAAAGAAAATAGCTCTTTTTTTTCTAACTATTTATTTTTTTAATAAGTTTATATCTGGTTCTAATTAGATTGATTGTATAAGTATTAATGAGAAGGTGTCGTTTTTCTAATATTATGGTTTTGCTTTAGTGTATTTATTATTTCATCTATTTAATCTAGCTAGTTAGATTTATTAAAAATTGTTTTAATAAATTTTTATCAATATCACACAAATATTTGTTTGTTTTATTTATTTTTTATGATTCTATTGAATTAATACGCAGATTTGTTCAGTAATCACGATCATTACTTTGAAATCAAGGATAGGAAGTTTGTTAAAATTTAAAAGTTACAATGATGTCAATGGATCTTTAACCACACAGTGGTGAGAAAGTGCATAAAAACATTTTAGCTCTATTTTGGGCCATTAACAAGTTATCAAAAATGGAGATGGCACTTGCTTTCTCAAGAAGTTTCTTTAAGGTTAGTCCTCTACCCACTTGCGTTCTTCAGATATCTGACTGGTATGCCGGTAAATCAAAATGCAAGAAATGACACAATGTGGAAGAATTAGACAATTGAAGGAATAAACTATTTTTACTATCTACTAAAATATATTAGGAAATGCAGAGTTCAGTGGCATTAATGTGACCACGTGTCAAATATCATATACGCACCTTTCACAAGGTGGACCGCTGCAGGACTTGTTAGAAGATAATCAATTAGGTTCTTGAAGGTGTTCACTGTGATGTCGAGGCAAGCTTGCGACCAGGTTGCGTAGTTTGGGATTCATGGTTTAAACCACCCAGTCAAGGTGGTTCCACAGATTCTTGGTTGGCTTTAAAGTCGGGGAGTTGGGTAGCCAGGAGAGTACCACATGCACAAATTGTATATTGTATGACACATCGCATTATTCTGCTGGTTGATGCCGTTATCCTAAGGGGAAAAATTCATGTTTAGGAGTGAACATAATTCGCAAGGACAGATGCGTACTTGTTTTGATCCGTTGTACTTTTCACAATAATGAGTACGCACACAGATTGTAATTTTCCCAGATCATATTGCTCCCACCTCGAGCTTGAACCCTTACAAAAAACAGGATGTTTCACCCCGTATACGCGAACTTCTATTAGTCCGATATAACATAAAACATGATTCATAAAAATAAGCCTCCATCGCCACTCAGCGGACTGCAGTACTAACGTGCAAACTCCAGCCTTCGCCAATGAACTGCAATCAGTACAAGTGCATTAACTAGGCCTCTTCTGCGGAGGCACATGGGCAACACTATTGATAGCTCCTGTGCAATCCAAACGCATTTCCCCAGAAGCCATTCTTTCATCAATGGCCCATGGTGCAGCGTGATTTTGGATACAACCACATGGTATACTTTTACCACTGCGACGCATAGTTTAGGAAATCGGTCTGAACTGACCGTACATGCACAATTCCCAGTAGAACAAAGAAGTCATGCATCACATGCTGCCGTCAGTAAGCGAGTGAGTGGCCACTTTGATCAGCCTGCGTAGGACCAAAGGTGCTTGCTGTTCTACCATAAAGTGGTTGACATCGCACGCAGGTCATCGGGCTACCACAGCAGTGGAGCCGTCCCCTCTGCAGAGGATCAAAATTGCAATGACTTGTCTTTGGATCATCCTCGGGGATGTTTCCCAGATTGTCGCTAATAGCCCATTGTGCAGTTCTAGTGCGATGTAAATAAAGCACCTGCTTAGCCTTTCGGGAAATGTTTCCACCTTGGCCAAAAACCCAATGATCATGCTCTTTGGAACGTCGGATATATCAATCCGTAGCTGTATTATGCCAAAAATTGCAATGTTTTCCAATTCCCTCAGACACCCTCACATGCGCTCTACTGCTATGAACTGCAATCTACATTCGATTCACGTTAATGTCGAAAGCAGGCGGTAGTCACACTAATATGACAGCGTATGTATGGTGCTAAAATTGAATTACTCTATTTCTTAAAATTCGGTGAAATTAAAATTTCCAGCAGCCTCATGAAATATTTATCACCACCTTTTAAATGTTTCCCTGTTGTAACCACACTAGAAGGATAATTTTATTTCTCACATACTTGTAACAAATAGTAAATTTAAAGTCCATCAAAATGGGCTACAGATGGCCTGCAGCAGAACTCGCTTACTTCGCATGCTTTCACCATTAGTTTGTGGAGAGCTTAGAAGAAGAAAGTTTGTTAGTTTCTATCTTGATTTTTAACTAGATTAAAATCTTTTAAGTTAGGAAATTATATAGAACTGAAAACTGCATTAAACATAGTTCTAAAGAAAGCATCATGGAAATTTTAAGAAATATTTTCAATTAAATACGTCAAATATTAAGAAAAGGAAAAATATCGTAGTACATTCCTATACAACTAAAAAGAGGAGGAAGGGGATGGGTCAAAGGCATTGAAAGCCGGTCTTCTCCGATAGCGTATTCGAGCGTTGTGATCGCGAATGAGAAAAATTTCGAAGTTGTGTGGAATGGGTATAGGTATTTTATTTGCGTCGCACTAAAGCTGTGCGTTGACCTATTGGCAACGGTCTGGGAAACATCCCCTAGGAGGACATGAGCCGAAGGATATGCTATCACAATTTTGATCTTCTGCAGGGGGATCTCATTTTTGAAGAAACTGTCTCAATTTAGTCACAGATCTGAAAGGGCAGGAAATTTTCTCCTGATTCCTGAACCCATGGATGCACATATTGTTTCCGCATACCTCTTATGTAATTTATCATAGTAGCCGATCACACTCTTTTCTAGAAGCCTATTTTCACTGTGTCGGATTCATACATGCTTGAGCCGTACAATGAATCAAATGTGTAGTGTACATAAAAAAAGAATAATGATCGGTTTTGTGGCATCAGCCAGATTAACTGTAACTGTGTGTTAACTGTATAGTTTTAGTTTCAGTTTACATTTATGTTAAGTTTCAGGATGCTAGATCCTGCTCATTTATTTAAG